ATTTATTTCAAAACATGTCCTTTAATTATACATTGAAATTGAATATTATGAAAGAATATAGAGTAGAAATTATTCTTATGGCTAAAAAAATTATAGAATTATAGATACGAATATATACAAAATAATATTATAGAACTGAAATAAGCTATGTAGATATGTAGGTATCTTTGACAAGAATTCTTTAAAATACAAATACTTTCTCGAACAATCTCAATAAGAGGCTATTTTGAAACTAACTTAAGGAACAGAATAGAAAAAAAATCGGTATCGTAAGATTACATTAGGATATATATTCGTATTAGTGATATTAATTTTATTTCGGCCACTCTTTATAAGTTGAGATATATTTAATTTAGAGGCATTCATTTTCGATATATACAATTGTAAGTTGATGACTTTCGCTTCATTCTCTATGCAGTTATCACAAGTTGGTGTTCAAATGTCAATACTATAATACTGTATTTAGTCGCCTTACGAATTTTAATAATACTTAACAAAATTTGAATTGGATCACTTTATATATGTTTAATTAAGTTGTTTAACTGAAAAGTTAAAATAATGGTTCAAAAGACAAAAACATTTTGTTATAGAATTTATAGATTTTTTATTAGTAAATGACTTTATTAAAAGTATGTTGCCAATTATGAACACTACAATTTTATACTAGTTATTACTGAATAGTATAATAAGATTATAATTGATTTTAAAATTAGTTATTAAGAAGCGAATAGTTTCAAAAAGATCAATTTGATGGAATATTTTATAAGTGTTTATTACTATATCATTTATAATTTGAAAATTTCAATCGAACTTAGTAAAATAAATTATAATAGAAATTTTATAAACAATAATTTTTTATATTTGAAAATTAAATTAAATGTCAAATGTCGAATAACTGATAAATATTGGACATATAAAATATTTAGTATAAATTTGTACAACTTGATAATTACTTAATAATACAGAAATATAAATACTTAGATAAATAATTTAGTCTACATAAATTGATTTATTAATATATTATTTTTATTAAATATTTATTTATAATTTTTGTAAACTATATCACAAATATTTTTATATTAATATACGCATTGTGATTTGGAAAAATTAATATTTTAGTTTAAAAATTACATAATTATATATTCTTATTTTGTTGATTATTGATTTAGTATCCGATTATTTTTAAAGGAAAATGATTGATCTTTGATTCAATTATCAAATATATTTTATTCAGATTATATTTAATTATTTAATTTAATAATTGATAATTACTACATTGTTTATTTTCAATTATTTATAATTCTCTGAATTAAAAAAATTGAAATTAAATTAATTTGTTCTCCATTTCGAAGAATTGTATTCCCGAATCAAGATAATTAATTTCGAGAATTATGATAATAATTGTAAAACTTTTGATAAATATTAATGAGATCTTTATACAAATTAATTGATCTCGCGTTCCTAATTAATTTTGATAAATTTACATATATTTAAAAATATTGATTAAATATTATTTTAAAGATTAGATATATCATTCAGTATTGGGAATTTAGTATATTAAAAGCATATAACACGAGTGCTCCATAATTATAATTTTACTCTAAAAATGTATACTCTAAAAAAAATATACTCTAAACATTTAGAATATACGGTCATTGCTTATTTTCTGAAATACGTAATTATATGCAGTTATGTATAAAACTAACAATAATGCTGTTAATTAATATCAGATTTTCAAACACTCATTAGAAAAAATATTATGTCGTTCAAATTTACAATCAATAGTGTTATATTTAAACCAACATATATGAATACAATTGTAATTATAAAAAAATAGGTATCAGTATTTCCAAATCATATATGTTTTATCATATGATTCGATACAGTGTTTTAAATTTTTAATATACAAAATAAATAGCGCAATTGCACTGATCTTAATATTGTAATAATTTTTTAATGCATTTTCAAGGTTGTTAATAGCTTTGTAGATAGGATCTCTCTTTATATTATCTATTTAATTTATTTAACCATGCATATATGCTTTGTATTTACAATAATTTGTTTAATATTACGTTAAGAAATAATTAATAATAAATAAGTAATACACAACATACAAATAATGTTATATTTTTAATAAAGAAACTTCCAAATGAATTTCAAATAATATTTATTATAAATTTATAAATCTATAAAAATTTAATTGTTATCAGGAATCTAATTCATAATTCATATATTTTTTAAAAATATCTATTTCATAAATTTGTCAGCTTTATATATATTTTTTAGTTTATTAAATAATTGGAATATTTCTATATAAAAAAGTAATATTTAATCTTAATGACGTATCATAGTAGAAATAACATTTTATTGAAAAGTTGTATGTAAAATTTTATTTGTTCTCAATTTCAGTATTTTATCTTATTGTATTATTTTCACGAATACATTTTAGGTATTAAATTACCACACTGATCTAAAAAGAACTGATTTTATGAGTTTTAAATTTTTCTTAGGTCAATATTATGGGTATATTTGTAAACAATTCAGATATATTTGTAAATAATTCAGATATATTTGAAAATAATTCAGATATATTTGTAAATAATTCAGATACATCATGATCAGATATATTATAGTCTACCCTAATATAAACATATTATGAAGTTATCATAATAATGTTATGCGAACATGTATTTCTTAATTTCGTGGAATAATAAAATTAATTATTTTATTTATATTTATATGTTATTTGTCGATTAATTTTCTTTAACGTTTTACGTAGCAAATTAAAACTTTACACATTTTTTAAAATGTTTATTATATTAATACAAAGTTTAAATTAAACCTTAGATTGTAAATCGTTTTTCGTCAGCATAAGAAATTATAAATATTAAAAGTAATTTCATATTACTCAATCTATTCGAAATTTATTATTTGGAATTGCCATATAATTAATAAAGTAGATATTTAATCAAATTAATCTTGTTTATTTTGAAAATATTAAAACGCAATAAATATATATTATAATATATATTTTAATTATTGAACTTAGGGCTAATATAAGTTGTCTCTATAAGATTGAACGAGAATGATAAAGAGGATGATATATGATTTTTTATTCTTCTCGATATGAATGAATTTTATTTGATAATTAAATATTTTTAAAAGAATTATTGAATAATATAACCATTTGATATATGATTATTTGAATGCGGTTAAATATGAATTTACAAATTTAATTATTTATTTAAAAAAAAAAATAATTTTTTTAATTATATAAAGCATTGAGTAAAAATTTAAGAAATAGTTACTTATGATATATATATATATATATTATTCATCTAATAAAATTTATCGAAATTTTCGTATCGAAAATTTCATTTTTTCTATACCTTTATTAGGAAAGTGTTAAAACTTCTTTTAGAGTATGAAATAATTGATTGCAAAGTAATAAGTTGGAATTTACTCACGAATAAGCTATTATTACTGATTAGATAAAACTAATAAAATAATATATTGTTATTTTAAAGTAATTTATTTAAAATTGAAATATATTTTTCATACAAATATAACAAATTTAATAATTATTGGTGTTCTTTTCTTATTTTTAATGAGTACATTTCTTTAAAATATTGCAAAGCATTATTACATTACACAATAAATTTTTCTTAATAAAAATAATTTTTCAAATGTTGTTGCTTTTTAAACATAATTAAAATGTATAGAAATCTATTTATTCGTTCAGTATTAATGTTATCATGCTCTTAATATTCTGTTTTACTTAAACAATATTCATAGCTAAAAAATGAAACAATATAAACTTTTTTTATAATATATGCATTTTTCAGTAATTTATATTTATATTTATTGTTATATTATAATAATTATATATTTTTCAATTATATAATATTGTGTGTATCCGTTAATAAAATAAAAAAATATGCTTTTTGTAAAATATTTTTATATCGATTAATTTTGTATTTTTTTAGTTTAAAATATAGAAATGGTACATGTAACTGAAAAATCGTTTAATATATTACACATACTTTGTAAATAATTAGCAAAAACAAAAATCATTGTACAAAATTGTATTTATTTCTAAATTACTTAGAGCAGCAGTTTATATTAAAAAAAAAGAAAGAAAATTATAAAACAGAAATGCATAAAACTAGTTAAGTGTGCATGGATGCGCGCGCGCAGATCTGTACGTGATTGTGCAAGAGATGTAAAAGTTCAATTTAACATTTCTTCTTGAGGAGCAATAAATAACGAAGAAGAATTAACAATCGTTCGTAAAAACGCTGTAGCAAGTGCAGTACGCCAATTATCTATGCAGAACAAAATTTAATTTTAAAATTAAAAATGGAATAAAAATTAAATGACGCTCAGGAGTGAAAACGATTTAATGAGAGGTGGAAAAGAAAAAGATCAAATAGAACGAATATGAGGCCAGAATAGTATTTAACCAAGATCTCAAGATGTTCCAAGTTTTGGTGTATCTTAGCCAATAACAGTGACGATTGAAATCGATTGAGTCTACATGGATTTGTGATTACAATTTGCAATTCTGTATATTTGCAGGAATTTGCTATCGTTTACAAAATGACGCACAGATTTTCTCGAAAACAATTATGTATTGGCACTTACTATAAAATGTGATCAGGGTATCCCAGAAAGAAAATAGTGATAAAAAAAAGCATATTAGCAAAAGTAAGCAATTTTAAATTGCTGGAAGTCTGAAAGCTGACATCTACTTACACTTTAGTTTGTCTACCCATTTCCCCGCCAGTTTACGGTTTATACCTCCAGAGGCAAGAGGGGAGTCTTCACTCCCTTCCACACTGATGTTGTGTCGTCGTTATAGCTGTAGTTGCGTGTGTGTGCATGCATATCGATACATGGAATTGCTTCGTATTTCTGAGAAGACAGTGGACTGTCTGTAATCTCACCAGACGGCGCACTGTGCGGTGGCGAGATCCTAGAGAAGGGAAGAACAGAGAGAGAGAGAGAGAGAGAGAGAGACGGACGAGAGCGATGACGGTAACGACAGAGGGGAATGGAAACGCAAGTGAAATCTGCAGACTGTTGACTGCCGTTAACGGCGACATTACGCGAAGCGGCAGTCTCGCCTGGTAGTAAGCAAATCCCATTGATTCATTTACTTTCAAAGAACGCAGGAGTTGGACAACATTTTCTTTATTTTAGAGGTTGCATTTGCTTACATAACCAACGACTCCTGGGATTTGCGTATTACGTGTTAAGGGGACATTGCCTATTGGAGTGAATAAACAGCGGCGGCGACGCTGCCAGTGACGCGCCTCGAAATAGATGGTGGTGGCGTTGAAGACGGCTAACGCGAGGGAGGGGGTGAAGACTCGTCAAGCCTTCGAGGTAAACAAAGCGAGCGTGTGCGCTAGTATATATTATTTTGTTGTTCGGTTCTTGCGTTTATTTTCTATTTTATTGTTATTTACTGATACGGTACATTTTAAAACTCTAGTCATATTTATTAATTTTACTAGTCACTATTGTTAGTAGTGATATCGAAGTTTCAAGCACAAAGAGCTAATAAAAGCAATAAAAAAAAATGGGAAAAAGGTGTGCAAGTGCATGAGTGAGTGCCGTGCCGGTATTAACTAGTGCACCTAGTGTTTCCGTCTTCTTGTTTAATTGAAAGTGAAATGCGTGTCATGGTTTTAAGCGCGCACGAGGTTCCTCAAGTTGCTGTTGCTACTACCATTATAAATGCTGGTTGCACTACATAATGGAGTAACAAGTGAAGAGCGTAAGCGGCGTTGCCATGACGACAGGTGAATACTCAGCATACTTTTTATAAAGGCTCAGCTTTGACTTTTTTTATATATTTTTTTCGCAATTTTATGGCTTATATCGAAGTCTTTGATAGTTTTTCTTTTAGCGCGATATTTTTTCATTAGATGAAGCTGAGAAACAGACGGAGCAATATCGATTTTTTTTATCGGTCAAAATAACAGAACACCATACTAGAATTCAGTCAATTTTACGTCCGATTGCTCTGTAGCAAGTATTGCTAGTGACCTTGCAGTTCGCATTTAATATTTTTGACTTGTATACTTTCATAGTGCTGAGAAACGCGAAAGATCTGACAACGTAATATAAGCAAGAACATATATACTTTGCACAGATTTGGATCGAAGTGAATGGAAAATGAGCTAATTGCGAGAGGCTATGCTAAGAGCGAGCATTCTAAAAGAGTACGTGTATCAATATAGATATAATCCACTTAGAATAATTCAAGCTTATGTCTTCTCAAGTAAAATACCTGGTTTACACTCTCGTGTTGCTTCGAATAATAGAGAAAAACAGTAATTAAGCATCCAATTAAAGTACCTAATCAGAGAAAATAAAGATTCGAGCATTTTTTAAGTTTTAGAAAGAGAGAGGGAGCGAGAGAGAGCGAGAGAGAGAGAGAGAGAGAGAGCGAGCGCGAGAGCGAGAACAAGAAACCAGTAAAAAGAGTAAACGAACGCGTCACAAACTAAACTACGTGACTCACTTGGCTCTTTCAACTAAGGGCTTGTATACAGTTGAATCAGACACAAGAGCTAGAAGAATAAGCAGAGGAAATGAAGAAATATCTGGAGGGAATCGGGATACAGAGCCAAAATCGTATTCTGGACGAAAATACCTCTTTGAGGCTATCGTTCTATCGAGTTTCTCTTGCACTCTCGCTTTCCCACTCTGTATAAGCGCGCATGTCTAAATGTATCTGAGCAATAGAACAAGAGAAGGATGATGAGAATAGACTGCTGCTTTTATGACCAGCGCATTACTACATTAATGACAAGACACCTCATAAGATTATAGAATTCGCTGATTTTCTTTTTGTGAAGTGACCTCATGTATATATATCTTCGTAATATGGTTTAACATAACTATCGCTTCTTTTTTTAATTTAAATATTATTTAATTGATATTTAATAAGTTTCACAAATTAAAAAAGTTAAATTCTCATTATAATTATATTTAATTTCTAAAAATGATGAGATTGTAATTATAAAGTTCTAGTATATAAAAATTATGTAATATACATTTAAATATAATTAATGGGAAAATTGAAAGCATTTTAAAATCTATATTGTAATTTTTTTATGTATTTTCTTTTTAAATAAGAGAAATTTCTGATATTTATCAAGTATTTGCATATATTTGAATTCTCTTAAAATTTTTAAAAATTGTAAAAAAATTTAGCTACAAAATAATTTTAACTAAGAATAATATTCATTGAAAATTTCTATATTTAGGAAATGATTCGTTTTAGAAAATGATACAAAACAATTAATAATTGTAATGTTTATTTTATATAAAATATAATAATATTATCTTATATAAAATTAATACTTAATTTATCTATCATTCATTTAATATTATTTTATTATAAATACTATTTTTATATAATAGTCTAAATAAAAAAAAATTAAATGGTATATTTTTATTTTTAATAATAATATTTGCACAGAGATACCAACTTTTATTAAATGTCTATTTATATAATATAATACTTCTATATGTTTTTTATAAGAATTTGAAAACCTATTTTAATAGATTTCTGAAGATTTAAAAAATTGAAATACGTATTGTTAAATAATATTTATAATTTTAACTTGTTCTATTTTTTAAATTGTATTATGATAATGTTTCATTACATCTTATTAATGAGTAATCAATAATCTTATAAAGTTATTTAATGATTCTATGCTCATCACATATTTTAGATATTAGAATATTCATAAATGTTTAACATTATTTAAACCAATTATTTATATATAATACAAATAAATTATTTATAATTGCGATAAATTAAAATTAATATGCTATTATGAATGTAACGAATCTCGTATGTACAACCTATGTAATTTCTTTTAAAGAATTAAAATAAAAATTATACAGAGAAATAGTTTAAATTTTGACTACTTTATGATTTTGAATCGATCGTTTCAGTTTTCAACTAATAGATGTGTGATGATTGTATTATAAATGAATTTTCTTTTGTTATAATTTTCATTATAAATATTTAGTTTATTACAAGTTTATAATTTCATTTTTATATATTTTTACTTGTAGATTAATTTCAAATCTATTTTTAAAATCTAAATATTAATTAATTTAATTCAATTAATAATAAATATTTATACTTTGTCTTTTACATATTTGAATAATTATTACAACTTGTATTTTTTTAATTAAAAAGGATTGACAATTTCAATTGTAAAAAATAAAATGTATCACGAAATTAATTTTTAAAGATTGAAAATTTTGACAAGCATGACAATATATTTTATGTTTTGCTAAAATTTTTTATTAAAAAATAATGTGTTTTTTAATCATTATAATTATTCTTTAATACATTTATATTAAACAATTTAAAAAGAATAGATTTTATACATTTTATTACTTTTCCATTAGTATTTATTAATATAACCTCAAATATCAGGCTTCATAGTTTCCCAAATATTATTATTTTAAATATTTCCATTTATATATTACTATTAATTTGAAATAACGAAATAATATTATTTTAGTTAATTTTGGATATATTAAATTTTCGATATATATGTTTTGTGTCTGTATATGATCTACTAAAATTTTAGAAAGATAAATAAAGTTTTAATATATAATTGTAAATAATCATAAATTTTTTTTAATACTTTCAAAACTTATAAATATGACTACATAAAATATCAAGAGAATTATGTTATTAAAATATAATAAATATTTAAAAATTATTTTAATACAGAGCTTATAAGTATTTAATACAAGTATATATTTTAAATAAATAAATATAACATTGAATTTTTAATTATAATACTTTAATATTGTTTTAGTAATACATACTAAAATTATTTACAAGTATAATTTTTCTTTACAGATTAGTATTGCTGTTACGGAAAAATAATCAGATAATACTTATAAAACAAATTTTAAACAATTGCATAAAAATATAATCATGTGAATTTGTTCACAATTGTCAATAAATTGTAAATAAATTGAAAAATTTTAATCACAACAAAGTAATTACATAAAAAATCATGCCCAATTAATTATATTTAGTAGTATAGAATAGAAAATTTTTCTAAATAAATCTTCAAAAATATTAGAAATTTTAATTTTTTAGTTAAAGTGATTAATTATATTTAATTTTACTTAAAGTATAAATTGTTTTTTGTCAGAAATTTTTATTATAAATAAATTGTTCATATGCACTATTTGTTCAAATTTAAATTTTTTGACATATTACCAAATAGTTCATTTCAAATAAAAATTGAATATTTAATTACATATTTAGTTCGATTTTATTTTAATAATTAATATATTTATAAATAATAGAAATAGATAAATAATTAATTATATTAATTTATCAATATAAAAATAATCTTGATTAACATGTAAAAACCAGAAATTACAATATTATATATAGATATATATATATATATATATAATTATTTGTTTTAACGTGTTTTTATATTATTTTTGTACAAGATAAAAATTTGAGATCAAATGAAGAAATAGTTTTTTGCTTCAGTACAATACAGCACAAAAATTCATAAGTTAAATTATAATTATAACGAACGTTTTCTAGAATTTAATTAAAATTTAACAATATTATTTTGAAAATCCATTGTTTACTTGTTGTCTAATAAAATAATGGAAAATAACTTTATATTTTCCTGAAATTACAATATAATGTAATTTTATTTTTATTGTTAAGGATAAGAAAAATAATAAATTATAAAATTTTATTAATATAAAAGATTCTTCAAATTTCTAAAAAGAGTTAATCGATTATTAATTTTTATGAATATGCAATGCATTAAGATATATTTTTACTAAGTAATTTTATAGCAGTCTTTATATTAATAAAAGACCTAATTCCGCTTACAATTGTAAATCTTAAAACATTATAGAAAGAATAAATTCAAGAAATTTTTGTATTTTATTTGATACTTTACCTTTTACATTAATATCGTGAAAACAATATTAGACAGTGAAAAAAGGATATATAAATTGCAAACATGTTCCTTATTGTATAAAGGTAATATAAGGGTATAACATTATAAAAGTATTAAATGACCAAGTTTGATAAAAAATTGTATGATTATATTCGAGACATTTTATTTAGTCAATTCTATTAATCTATCATGTATTGGTTTTAAAACAAAGATATAAAAGTTTAATACAACAGTTTACTTTAAGAAAAGTGTTTTATACGTTGTTTTATATCTTATGTTTTATATATCTTTTTGTTGTGTATTCATATAAGACTGTAATAGTTTCCACTTTATTTTTCTAAAAAAAGATGTAGGTTTTGTAAGCATTAATTTCAATCTATAATTGCTTAACTAAAAATCAAATGCCTTAGTATTTTATATATTATATATAAACCAATGTAATTACAGAAACGAAAAGTATTTTTCTCATTCTTACCTAAGGATAATTTCAGTGACTTCATGCATATAATTATTTGTATATAATTCATAATAATTTTTCATTTTAATTAACAACGAGTTCGATTAATACGCACAAGAATATTGAATATTCAATATAATTTAAAAACATTTTACTTAATACAGAGTAATTGTAAATAATAAAACTATTATTATTTAATTATTATCTGTAAATTCATCGATTGCATTAATTCGTGGAGATCTAAATTTCTAATAGATTATTGAAGTTTCAATACTTGAAATATAAATAATACATTAGTTTTCAAGTTTGATTTAAACTGATTATAAAATATTGTATTGTTTTCTTAATTTTAAAAACAATATTTTTACGAGGTTGAAATTAAAAATAAACGTTGTTGGCTTGATACAGTGCTAGCGATTATTATATTTCATACTGAACACAATAATACTTAACACATTAAGTAAACATGTTTAAATATGCAAGATGCTAAATACATCTTCTTATTGTCGATTATAAAAATATCTGAAAATAAACGCATATTAATCAGTACACAAAGAAAATATATGCTTAAAGAATGTAATAATCTTAGTTATTAGAATTACACCTATTATTCAATTGTATACAAATTCTAATATTCATTACCATGGATAGAAATATAATTGACAAGTTATATCTAGCAGTATTGTTATTAATTAGAATTTTTATATTCACTTTATATTATTACTTATTGTAAAATAATAATACTTTTTAGAAATTTTATATATTTGAAAAAATATATTTTAAAATTATAAATTTTATTTTACTATGAAACTATGAAGTCAATTTTATACTTATTTCATAATAAATGTTTTGTTACGAATAAATTTCAAATAAGCATAATTACGTACTATTTTTAGGCTCAATACTTGAAGTTAAATTCATTATAAATTTCTAAAAAAAAAAACATTAG